TCTGTCATTTTATAGTTTTGCAAGTTGTTTGCTTTGCACATCCTGTTTATTCAGGTCTTTGATTGGGTTGAAGACTAGATAGTTATAGTTACAGTTTTCCTTGTTACCAAATTCAAAAAAGAAGCTCACAAAAGAGGTATAAAGAATATAAGGTTAAGAGACAAAAGCTTATGCTGTTTAACTTAAAAAATGTTTGAGGTCTAAAAAGATAGTTTGGGGTTGGTAATATTAATTAAAATAGAAAATAAATTAGGTACAAAATTTTAGATTCATCAAGATAGATAGACAATAGAGTATTTTCTCCAAAATTGCCAAATACAAATGGACTGGACATTGTGGATGTAATTCTTACTTGATAATTGTTCTTATTGTATATAGTTTTACTATGTTAAACATTTCCTTTCTATTTAGACAAAAAGGGGGAAATGTTTACACTGTGTGAAGATATATTCCTGTTATTGGTGTAATAAAAAGCTGAACAGCCAATAGCTAGGCAGGAGGTGTAGGTGGCATTTCCAGGGAGAGGAAGAAAGGGGAGGACAATCTAGGTGTGCAGGGAAAGCCAGGAAACATGGAGAAGAAACAGGAGATGCAAGATGAAAGAGGTAACACCACATGGCAGAACATAGATTAATAGAAATGGGTTGATTTAAGTTAAGTTATAAGACCTAGTTAGGAACAAGCCTAAGTTATTAGCTGAGCTTTTGTAATTAATAAGAAGTCCTTGTGTCATTATTTGGGAGCTGGCTGGCAGGACAGAAAAAGACTCATTACACCAGGGGACTATGAATTTACCCCAGTTTTTGCAAACTGGGCTCCTATAAAAATCTACAGAGATCTTCCCAAGGCAGAAGACCCTAAACCTGGATTAGCTCAAGGGGTGAGTGGGAAGTTGGATGGGAGGAGGACTTTGGAGCAAAGAACATGGCACTCTGAAATTCTCAGAGGAAGTAAGACCCTGAATATGATATCGCAAGGCCTGGTTCACTTCTGCTTGCCTATCTCCCTCCCAAAAAGGAGCACAACCATGGAGGCATCATGACTGGTCAGCTCCAACGTGCCAGTGTCTTCTCATACTGTCCCAAGCCTTTGTTACTGCCCCTTCCCAGGGCCCAGAACAAGCTCAGTTCTACACAAACACTTAGAAGGCAGCACTCCTCAAGCGTAATAGCCATCACCTTCTGCTGTTTGCAAGAGATATCACATTTAATCCTAACAGCTCTTCAGAGGAGCAGATGGTGTTTCTATTTTAGAGAAGGGGAAATAGACTCACCAAGAATGTGCGCCTTGTTCAAGGTCACAGTAAATCTTAATGTATATCCTTGTCAATCCTGTCTTCTCTGGTCATAGCCCACTGAACTTTGTCTTCTTCGAGCTAAAGGAAGCCTCACCTCAATTCCCCTAATTGCCAGACTTCCACTAATAGGCTAGGATACATGATCCTGCTTCCTGGGAAGAGCAGAGGCTGATTTAGAATCTGCAGTGAATGAGGAGAGGGTTGCCCTAAAGGCTCTAATAGATGTCAGATGCTTGGTAACGTAAATCGGGGATGCAGTAGCTCATTTCAGGAAGGAGACTGTGGTCTTTCCTGGCATGTGGTGGGGGTGGGGCGGGGGCAGGAGTCCCCAAGAAGAGGCTACTCTTAGTCCGGGTACAGGCCTGGAGGGATGCAGCTGAGAGCTAGTTCTGATAAGGCACTTGCAGAACACTACAAGATGATTTGGTGGTACAAGTGAAGAAACTGAATCCTAAAGGGGGGGCTAAGGGCTGGACTTTCCCAGAACACCAGAGGGTGTTGGGGGGGGGGGGGGAGTAAGGACACGAGTCCAGATCTCCTGAACACACAGTGCAGTCGTTTGGGTCTGCCAGGGCTGTGCAATGGAAGAGGGCACATACTTTCCTAGGTCTTTGCTGGCTCCCACCAACCTGAAGAGATGGGCCCTGTTTGAGCCTGCTGGAGCCACTTCCTGCAGGGAGGGAGCTGTGACTTACTGTGCATGCCGGACGGCTTTAGTATGCCACCAGAGAGGGTGAGACTAACCCAAGTCACACAGTACATGTGCAGTGAAGCAGGAACTTGTTGCATGGTCTGTGTCCTCTCAGCCCCAGAAGGGCCTCCTGGAAGAACACAGTCTTTCCAGCCCAGACTGAGAGCAGCAGGAAGGCGTACAGGCTTTAAGAAATCTGGACCATCCCTGGGCTGCCCCCCACCAACTTTTCCTACCCTCTGCCCTGAAGACATCCAACACTCTGCTGAGGATCCTGGAACTTCTAAAATTCCTTCAGAATAGGTCACCTACGTTTCCCACAGAGTGAGAGTCTGTGCCGTTCATTCTTCACTAAGCCCTGCCTTTCCTATAAAACCTAGCTCAGAGGCACAGAAATGACCATGTGCAAAGCCACAGAGGAAGTCGTCTCAAATTCCAAAGAATCTCATAGACCAAGATTTCTGACCACAAGGCAATGTAGTGAGAAGTGAACAAGAAAAACCTAAGGTTGAAAAACAAAAATCCCACTTCTAAATCATCCAAGAGTTAGGGGAAATTGTAAATGACATTTGTAAAATATTTAGAACAGAGTGACAAGAAAAGCACAAGCGGTTTCTAAGTCATTTCCTCTGTGAAGTCATCCCTGACCCAACACTGTTCCTCCAGATAACTTTCTACCCTCCTCCCAGCTCTGAGTCCAGAGGGCTGACCTCTGGGCTGTGGCAACAGGTTCCCTTGTCCTTGGCTTTTAATGGGGAACTTGGCCAGAGACACGAGGAAAATCAAAAGGAAATGAGGCCCTTATTGGCCGGTAGATTTCCCTTGATTGCTGTGAGCTGGGTATAGCCTCTATTTAGGCCACAGAGCTTGCTGTAGCCTTCTCATTTCTTCCATTTTGTACCTCAGCCTAGGGTTGCTGATGGCTATCTGCTCCCTTGCTACATCATTGGTGATACAGCCTCTACATGGCTTCCCTACCACTAATTATGCCTATATGCATCACCACTATCAAACTCTCCTGAAAACACTCAGGATGCTCTGTGTGTTTCTTGTGGATATCCCCACTCTTGCCTCATGTTTAACCATCAATATATTATGTTACCCCATTTCCACTTCTGAATGTCTAAGCACTGACCCTGTTACCTGTATATGTTCTGTCCTGATTGCTGACCTGTGGGCAACTGAGATCAGAGACTGATTCATCACCTTGATTTCAGTACACTGTCACACTCAACAAAGGGCATTGATTATTATATCAAATTAAAAGGAGCAAATGTGAAACCTATTGATACAGTGTTTATTTACAGGAAATTTGGGACAGATTAAGACTTGGGCACAAAACAGAATTTTATGCTGGAACAGAAATAAGCCCTTGGGCAAAGAATGGATGCTTAGTTCTGATCTAAATTCTTAAGGAGTTAAGTGTGTTCTCATGCAATTGAGAAAGCAGGCCCAGGCCCAGACCTAGGGAATCCCAAAGGGGCACTTGTGCCATGGTATAAAACCACCTGTGGCTCTGGTGGTTCCCCAGTCACACCTGTTTGCCCTTCTCTTCCTCCAGGGTGACTTGGACAGCCTTCACCTTCTGTATTTGTTGCTTTTCATGCTCTGACTAAATACTCAGGAGAAGTGTCTCATTTCGGCTCTCAATTTGGGAATGCAGACCACCATGGTGGGGAAAGTACACAGTGGCTCAGAGCTGTGGCCGTGGGAGCATGAGGCCGCTGGCCACACTCCCAGAGATGTGTCTCCTTGGTAATTCTGAAGCCAGTGAAGCCGATGATAAAGATTGGCCATAATGCTTGTCTAGAAAGTCTTCAGTTTCCCCTCCCCAGACAGAGCCTGTAGTGTTGTTTCTGGGGTCAAACCATGGTATGCATTGAGTCATGATGTGGGATATCGGCTTGTTTCCAGGGGAGAAATCTAGGTAGAAAAGTGGGTAATGCAGATCACGTATGGAAAGGTTTGAAACTGTTTGGAAAGGGCTGGGAGAGAAGTCATTCTGTAGAAGAACAACGGAGACAATAGTTTGGAGATAGGATATGGGGTGACTTTGGGTGGTGTGAGAATCTCCCCAGCCAGAACAAGGTCTCTAGCTGGTGTGGGGAAGGTGACCTCTTCTTTGAATGTTCTTTGGGAAGGAGGGTGGAGGAATCAGTCCTTCCTCTCAGGAGTAACCCAGTCCAAGACTCCTTACAGCTATTCACTCATTCGTTTAAGTGGGTTGGTTGGTTGGTTGGTTGGTTGGTTGGTTGGTTGGTTGGTTGGATGGATGGTTGGTTGGTTAGATGGTTGGTTGGTTGGATGGTTGGTTGGTTGTGTTGGGAGAGAGGGTCTCACTACACAGCCCTGGACTAGCCTGGAGTTCACAGAGATTTGCCTGCCTCTGCCTCCCTAGTGCTGGAATTAAGAAATGCTCCCTCCACCACCAGCAGCCTGTAGTCTTGAGTGAGTGCTGTGTGTGACACTTGGCTGAAGCTGCTAGGAACCCTATTGAATTCAGAGACAAATGAAGCACAGATGACTACAGGAGGTCTAGAAAACCATTCAAACCACAATTTTTTTTCATTCTGCTTCAGGGAGAAACTGGACTTGTTCCCATTCTACAGCCTAGGATTCTGAGGCTGCCTCCTTAAGGAAGATCCAGACGGCCCCCTGGGGCGGCTGCTCTGTAAGTCCTGGTCCCTAGGGGAGGCTGGAAGCTCCACCGGACTTCCCACTTCCCGGAAAGGCTGGAGAGAAGAGTGTGTGTCCTGGGACGGGGGAGTCCCTTTCCCCGCCCCTCCCCGCCCCGTGGCCACGGCGTGGCTGAGCCCGGGGCGGAGCTGGCGTCTGCTCGCGGACGAGCGGCGGGACGGCGGCCGCAGCCCGGGGCAGGCAGGCGGACAGGCGCGGAGACCGGCCCGGCGGGATCACCCGCAGGAGGACGACCCAGCCCGCTGCGGTGCGGCCGCACCGACGGAGACCCGGAGCTGTCCACCTAGGCGGAGCGCGTGAGTGAGAGCGCCGTCTCCGCGCCCCTCGCGGCCCGGTCTTGCTTCCACTTTCAGTTCTTCTTGGTCCTCGCCTGGCAACTTCTGGAAGCGACCCGCGCCTGAAAGCAGGCTGGCACAGTCCTCAGCCCCGGGTCCGAGGCTCAGCGCCCAAATGCCGGGGTGGGGGTGGCGGTGGCGGTGGCTGGTGAGGGGGCGTGTCTTCAGGAGCGGAAATGTCAGGCTGGCTCCTCTGGGTCCTAGGACCTGTTTGTCCCTAACAGTTGGAGATAAGGGGAGGTTCTTAGGGGCTCAAAGGAGGTGGAGGCGGGTCTTTTTATATTTGACCTTGTCCCGCGTACCAGGCTAGAACCTGAGTTCGAACTGGAATTGTATCTCAGCCAGGCCCGGGAGGGGCAGGTGTGTCCCAGGCAGGGGACTAGGTATTAGAAACAGGCTGGGTCGGTAAACCTTTGCTCTTCATCTGGGAAGATTAGATGCTCAGTCATGGAGTGAGCAAACCACTGGCCACCCACCCAGTAATTAAAGTGGAGGGTCCACGGGGAGAGGGCACAGAGGCTCTGTAAGAAACAGTCAGTGATGGCATGAGGCTGGGGAGAGCAGCAATAACAGACATAGCTAGGAGGGGACGTCCCCCTGAGCTTACCTCCTGTACTCCAAGTTCACTCTTCCTAGGAAAAGTCCTAGGCCTTAAAGTTCTACAGCAGGGAGGTGGGGCCGCTCTACTCCCTTCCCCTCCTCTTCTGTACACCAGGCCAATGGCCAGACAGAGCAAGCAAGGGGTCCTTTGTACCTTATCATAGGCTAAGTCCCTCTTTATCCCAGTCCCCTACTTCTTATAACTTTCTTTGTAAAGTCAGGCTCCTCAAATCCTGATTCTGGGCTTCAGTTTCCCCTTCTGTAGGTTGGGCCACTTGATTTCTCAGAGCTGTTTCAACTTGAAGACTTGTATTCCTATATGTGTATGTGTCTGGTATTGTGGGTAAGTGAAGGTGGGTGTGCAGGTATGGAGGTTGACATCAGGTATCTTACTCTCCACTTCATTTATTGAGGCAAGGTCTATTTTTAAAATAATTACATTTATTTATATGTATGCATAAATATTCGGTACACACACACACACACACTCATGTATGTACCACAATGTACATGTGGTAGTTAAAGACAGTGTGTGGGAGTTCTCTCCTTCTACCATGGGGGTCCCTCAGGCCAGTAAGTTTACCCATTGAGACATCTCACCAGCCCAAAGCAGATCTTTCTGAACCTGGGGTTTCCAGGGGTTCCCTGCCTCTATCTCTTAAGTTCTAGGGTTACAGAAGGCTGCCAGGTCTTGTCAGGTTTTTCATGGCTTCTGGAGATCAAAACTGGTCCTCATGATTGCACTACAAGCTCTTTACCCACTGAACCGTCTCCCCAGCCACTCTAAGACTCTTGAGTCTAAGCTTTCCCTAAAGCCCAGCCACCAATGTTATGCCAGCCTGACTTTATCTAGAGGGCGAGGGACAGAAATGGTCAAAGAGTGGTCACCATACAAGGTTGTGATCTGGAGGAGGCTGCTGAAGGAGGTAGCATTCGGTAGGATGGAATGAGAAATCAGGAATCTATCAGCAAAAGACACCCATGCAGGAGAGTAAGGGCATCAAGGAGAAGCCCAGGGTGGCTGCTGGTGAGAGGTGGTGTGGGGAAGTTAGGGTGTGGAGTTGAAAAGTAGAGTGAGAGTCTGTAACAGTCCCTAATGGGTGACCATACCAAGGTGGAGGACCCAAAACCCCACCGATTGCATGAGTGATTTTGGAAACTCTGCACCAGGCAGAGCTTACAAGGGAGACAGCAACTGAAGTGTGCAGAGCTCTCCATTCGGGAGGTTCAGGTCCCAGCCTACTATTCCTTTGGGAAGAAGCTGGGTGGTGGACAGAATAAATGAGAGGACCTTCAGGTTCTCTCAAGAGGTCAGGAACTCTCTCTCCCCTCCAAACCACTCTGGCTTTTCCTGATTGATCCATTCTGCTATGAGAAGGAGAAACTGTTCTAAACATTTCTGTAAGTTTGATTTGTTGCCAGAAGTAACATCTGTCTGAGTTCTGTGCCTTTGGTTACACTAACCAACCTAATCCCCACCCTCTATATCCCCATTCTGCCACAGCAGTTATCAAAGATGTGAGAAAGGAAGCTGCTTCAAAGTCAAGCCAGTCTGAGGTGAAGGATGAGCTTTGTCTGTTGCTGTCTCAGGCCTCATTCAGTGTGGAGCTAGGGCTTAGACTAACCAAGGTTGAGGACAAGTCAGAGTCAACATGGAGCCCGAGCTCAGTGCTTAGCTTATACAGCCTAGTGGTCAGGGTCCATGGTCAGGGTCTGTGCTCGGTTTATGGCTGTTCCAGTCTTGGCAGTTGCCTGGATCTGCAATTCCATATAGTCATGTACATTGGTAGGGGAGATGAAATGCCTAAGATACTCAGAAACCTGGCTATATCAGGGTGTTCAAGGATTTACAAGGACTAAATCAGTGGTGATGTAAGCAAGTCAGTTTTGAATCAGGGGCTGGATCCCAGGACTTTGGGGGCTCTGACTGATGCCCCCTGAAGTCTGTTCTGAGTCTGGGAGTCTTCCATTCTAAGAGGCAAAGCAAACATCCAGAAGGACAGCAGGATGGGTGCCAGGTACATAGTAGGCATGCTGGAAATCATATGGAGTGTCAGGTGCACACGGTGGCTTATTCAGGTTTGGGACTGAAGGAGGTTGACTTAGGGGGAAAGAGCATTAGCATAGCAGAGGAAGTAGTACTCTTCTAGACTGCCACCCTCCCCTTCCTGTAACGCCTGCAGCCACACTGAAGGCCACCCAGATGGCCATGCGAGGGCCCTTTCCTCTTTCAGTGTAAAGAAAAAGGAAAGGACATTTTTGGTAGAAAAGTCCCTTCTGCTCCCTGGGAATCCCCTGTGGCAGGATGGACTTCGGGATATACCAGAGGAAACTGAAGTCCAGGGCCCACCCTGTCACCCTAGCACAATGCAGCCAGCTTCTCTTACACTACACAGCTGACCTATGGGGTTTCCAGAGAACATCTTATCGGGTCCCTGTTCCCTGGAGGGCCTTCAAAAGCCTCTGTCCCTTCTGTAATAGTCGACAGTAAGTCCTGCAAGAACTTGTTTGGAGCCAGGCTACACCTGCAAGGTTCAAAGACAGCAGGGAGGAAACTAAATATAAGGAAAGGTATGTGGGGCTGCAAAGAGGGCAGGGGAGAAGTACTAAAGTAGTCCACAAAAGATCAGACACTGACCGGCGGTGGTGGCGCGGGAGGCAGAGGCAGGCGGATCTCTGTGAGTTCGAGGCCAGCCTGGTCTCCAGAGCGAGTTCTAGGACAGCCTCCAAAGTCACAGAGAAACCCCGTCTCGGGAAAAAAAAAAAGTAGACAGTTAGGGGATGAGTGTTTCTATGAGGTAAAGAATTACCTCAAGGCTGACAGCTAATAGGAAAATGATGTGTTGGAAAGTCAGAACCATTTTATGGGTCCTGATCACCTGTTTCCCCTGCCTTTGTCCCTGGCAGGGCATCTTCAGGTCCCTGGACCTAGACATCCTCCTCTACTAGGCCTGGCCATGGCACTGTGTCTGAAGCAGGTGTTTGCTAAGGACAAGACTTTCCGGCCCCGGAAGCGCTTTGAGCCTGGCACACAGCGCTTTGAGCTGTATAAGAAGGCTCAAGCCTCACTCAAGTCTGGCCTGGACCTTCGAAGTGTGGTGAGGCTGCCACCTGGTGAGAGCATCGATGACTGGATCGCTGTGCATGTGGTGGACTTCTTCAACCGCATCAACCTCATCTATGGCACCATGGCTGAGCACTGCAGTGAGGCCAGCTGTCCGGTCATGGCTGGTGGGCCTCGCTATGAGTACCGCTGGCAGGATGAGCGCCAGTACCGAAGGCCTGCCAAGCTCTCAGCACCCCGCTATATGGCATTACTCATGGACTGGATTGAGGGTCTCATCAATGATGAGGATGTCTTTCCTACACGTGTTGGTGAGCACTGGCTAGCTGGAGAGTTAGCATAGCCAGGGAGGGTCTTTCCCATACTGCAGAAGAGGAAACTGGTTGAGGATCTTGGTTACAATCAAACATTTACCAAGGACAAGCTGACTTCCATTTAGATCTCCTCTTCATGCCCTTCTCATGGAGGCAGGACTCAAACCCTCTTTGCACAGCAGTACCTCTCAGAGATAAATGAGACAGATTCTGGCTGGCCAGGAAAGGTCAGGAGAACCAAGGCAGTGTGTGAAAAGACCCCACTGGGGACTCTCCCAACAAAACCACAAGCACCGTTTCTCCACTTTCCAGAACAAGTAATACACTGTTGTACTTGGGTTAATCTGGTTTCCAGCCTCCTGAGAGTCCCCTCTGAATCCTGGTCCCAGAAAGGGAAGGATTGGAAGCTAGATCAGCCCCAAAGTACCTTTTCCTCAGGCTGGTACTCCATAGTCAGGTCCAGGCCACGGGGCCTTTTCTTATATCAGCTGGGCCTGGGCGGGGAGGGTGGGGAGGAGAGAGGAATGATGTCACCCTGGCCCAGGTTCCCCACCTAGCAGCCCCACCTGCAGCCTGGGTCCCAGCACCCATCTGACTGTAGGGATTCAAATGGGTGGGGCAGATGGTCAAGCCCAGAGGGAAGAAGTCTGAATGCTAAAGAAAGCTGGGCACTGAGTCACAGCTGAAGCCCATGGCTTCTCCCCAACTGTTGCTCCCATTTCCTGCACTGCTGTGTACAACAGGTCCCTTCATTTTACACAGAAGGAAACTGAGGCCAACAGCGGGAAAGCACGCTGAACAGAAAAGGGTTCAGAACCGGAACTCGGGTGTTGTGGGGCCCAGGTCTAGATGGGTTGGATAGGAGTTGTGGGGACCAGGGTGGGCTCTCAGAGAGGCAGAGCGCAAGCTCACTCCAAAGAGCAGTGAGAAGGAGTGGGGTCGGTGGAGGTGTATGGACTAGGGCTAAACCTGTTCCTGCCTTTCGTTCTCCTCTAGCCTACATCCCTGAGTGTGTGAGCCCTGGGTAAACTTTTAACTGGATGACTGGATGATTTTGTCATAGCAGAAAAGAGGGTGTAAGAGGATCTCTGCCCTGGACTGGGTCTGTGCACACACTGCCTTTCCCATGGTTCTCCTGACCTTTTCTGGTCAGTCAGGATCTGTGTCATTTATCTCTGAGAGGGACTGCTGTGCAAAGACGGCTTGTGCCCTGCCTCCAGCCTATACTAATTAATAATTATGTGTCCTCAGGCAAGTGGCTTCACCTTTACACATCACCTGCATTTTATCATATCTAGAATGACTATCAGACCCATCAGCACAATTGCAAAGAGCAGAGGACAGAGGTACAGAGAGCCCAGCTCGGGGCTGGGCTCACAGAGGGAAAGTTCTTTATGTTATTGAATATCACTGAAGGCATGAGTGATACCGGAAGTAGTTCTTGAAGTGTTAGCATATGGGTGGGGTATGAGCTAGCTGTGTGAACAGTAAGCAGAGGAACTGGTGGTGTGGCTGGAGACGACAATCAGGATTGTCTCATAGAGGCTTTGCTCCATGCCATGTCAAGATACTAAGACTTCAACCTGAAGGCCCACAACCTCCACATTGGGTGCACAGGTTTCTGGGGAGAGGTTAGGCCATAATTTTTAGTGTGGTCTGCCGCAGACTGGCCAGTGACAAACTTGAGAAGCCCTGCTTCAAGCAGTGAGAAATGTGGAAGACCATCTGTGCTACAGCATGGAAAGGCACTTTCAGATTTGTGCTTCATTAAAAAGGAAAGATGGGGGCTGTGGCTGGAGCTCAATGATGCGAATGAATTCCTGGGTTCAATTTCCAGCACTACCTACCACCCACAAAAGAAAAGCATAGGAGAAAACCAAGGCCTTGCTCTGCCTTCCTCTATGAGGAAGAAGAGCGCCTGGGGGGAGGCGTGGAGTTTTAGCCCTAGGATTGTGACCCTTCTTCTACCCCCTCCACCCCCAGGAGTTCCCTTCCCCAAGAACTTCCAGCAGGTCTGCACCAAGATCCTGACCCGACTCTTCCGAGTCTTTGTGCATGTCTACATCCACCACTTTGATAGCATCCTCAGCATGGGGGCGGAGGCACATGTCAACACCTGCTATAAGCACTTTTACTACTTCATCCAAGAGTTCAGCCTGGTGGACCAGAGGGAACTCGAGCCACTGGTAAGGCCAAGTCTCTCTTACCCATCACTGCTAAGGCTCTTCCCTGAACGTTCAAATCCAGAGGATCTGTATGACACTCCCATACCCAGGTGGATGAATGAGGGGTGACAACTCATTTAACGGTGGATTCTGAACTCTCATAGAGAATTCATGGAGGTGTCAGTTTACAAACCTAGATCTGCTGCCATGGTTTGCAGCTGTAGTGGGGGAAGAGTCAGGCTCAATAAACCCCGATTTGGAAAGGAGTTGCCCGGCAGGCTGAGCTCAAACTAACCCTTCTTTGCTTTGTGTCTCCACAGAGGGAGATGACAGAACGGATCTGTCACTGAGTCCAGGTCTGGATGTTGTTGCCTATCAACTGGACCATCACAGTGTAGCATGGAGAGGGAATCCTTAGGAGCCTGTTGGTAAAGCAATCTGAAGGCCTGTAGGACCCCTCTATATACCCAACACCTCTGGACTTCTCAGAAGTCTGCCTGTGTATCCCAGATTGTGTGGAGAAGGGGGGGGCTTCAAGTGGGCAACAGGAGGAAAGGAGGAGTTTAGCCCCTCACATGAAGTCCAAGAGTAGGGTAAGCTACCAGGTCTCTGCTCTGATACCACCTTACCATGGTGGGTCCAAATCCATTTGGGGAATGTGGATGTGGCTGAAGTGATGGCAAGAAAATTATAAGAGAGTGAGTGCCTGTATCTGAGCAAGCAGGTAGGTGTGTGTGTGTGTGTGTGTGTGTGTGTGTGTGTGTGTGTGTGTGTGTGTATGTATGTTGGGGGGGTTGTTGATTGTGGGATTTGTCTGAGAGATCCAGGTCCTTCCTGGCACATGTTGGATGGATGGATGGATGGATGGATGGATGGATGGATGGTGGATAGATAGGCGGGCTGACTGTAAGTCCATGACCCCTATAGGAGTAATGACAGCTTATTGCTCCAACTCAACTCTGACCATAGGTACAAGTGTACAGAATGTGCAGGTATATGGAATTGTACCTTTGAATCTTCTAGACTACCATTTTCTATCTTGAACTGGAACTCAAGATACTTCAGTCTCACACCCTGAACCCACTGACCTGACTGAAGGCTGGCACAAAATAGCCCTCTTGACAAAGAGAGCAACTGGAACTTGAATTGGGGAATCTGGAGTCTTTTTCCCTATCTCAGGACACTGAGGATCATGTAGCTGGTGGAGACCTTCCCATCCTAAAAATACCTGCCTCCATCCAACCACCCAGAGACATCCCACCTACTTGGATCTCTGAGCACAGTATCCAGAGAGGCTGGGATGCTCTTTCAGTAGCCATTACTCAGTTATTCCATGCTGAGCCCTGTGCACAGACTCACAGGTAGGGAAACCATGGCAGAAACAGGCTTCTGCCCTCCCAGAGCTTTTATCCTGAGAAGCCAGGACGGAGAACAAGAAGTCACATTAAGAATCCCATGTGTTTCTCGGTATGGAGAGGAGGAAACTGAAACTGGAGGCTTTTGTGAAGCTGTGTAAAAGCCAAGGCTCTTGACTTCTCCTCTAGGGCCTGCTGATTGTGACACTGAGATGCATGTGAAAATGGGGTTTGTCAGCCACTCTCCAGGACACAACTACTCCTGCTTTGAGCAGTGATTTCTAGCCTGATGCCAGAGAGCCCACCACCCCTGGGTTGGCTCGAGTTGACTGCTGAGACAATCGTCCAAAACCAGATCTGTTTTTATGACCTAGGAACTGCCTGCCCTCCAGAGAAACAGCTGGGGAGCTCTAGACTAGCAGGACCTGGAACTTCTGTCTCTGCTGGCTCCAGAAAAGACAAGGGGGGCATGCCACCATGTAGCTTTGGCAGTGGTTCAGAACTGAGGAAGGTAGGAAATTCCCCACAGTGGGTTTGCAGAATATACTCTGGAATCTAGGCTGTGAAAAGGGATGATGGGGGAGGGAAATATATTTTTGTGAAAGAGGGAAGATTTTGCTATTTTTGGTAAAATAAAAGACACAAACTACAGCAATCACTGGTGGGAAGTTGTGGTCTTGGCAGATTGTAGGAGAGAACAGCAGAATGGGACTCAAGACATTCTGTCCTCAGCGCCTGACCATATGGGCATAGTCAGGACTGACATAGCTCTCCAATATGAGGACACCCAAATTCTCTCAGGGCTCTGAATTCTAGACAAGCTAAATTAGGAGCCTTGAGGAGGGGAGGAGAGGACAAGGCAAGCCCTTGCCTTTAAGGAACTTGATCTGATGGGGGACCCTCCTCATTAAGGCACTTGGGACTGGCTATCCCCATTCATATCTGGGAGGTTTGGAGAAACCAATGGCTAAAAGTGCAGTGGGAAAATCAGCCATAATCCCAATCACAAGAGAGGAAGCCTAAGCTTCTCAGGGCTCAACGTAGGAGGAGGTGGGGCAGGTTTCACTCCAGAGCTTATTCCCCAGGAGACTGCTAGAGCTAGAACACACTGCTCCCACACCACAAGCCACTCAGACAAGAGTTAAAAGCAGCCTGGTTGTGAGGAACCAACAAAGGCCCACCTAGAGCTCCTCCTACACCTGCAAAGGAGCAATAGGGACTCTGTCTGGGAGGTGGAGGCCTGAGCTGTAGCCCAGCCAGCCCCCAAAGTCTCATGGCAAGTACTTTCCTCTATAAAGCCACTTACCTATCTTATGGTCAGAAGTGGTTAGGCAGCAAAATGGCTCAGTGGATGCCCAACAACACAAGCTTAATGACTTGAGTTCAATTCTCAGAACCCCTGTAAAAGGTGAGAGAGATAACTCTGGCATGCATACCCCATACATACATCACACACGCAGTAGGAATTTTTTTTGTTGTTTTGAGACAAGGTCTCATTATGGAGTGCTGGCTATCCTGGAACTCACTCTGTAGCCTAGGCTGGCCACAAACTCACAGGGGTCCACCTTTATCTGCTGGGTGCTTTGATTAGGGTATGCACACCACACTTGATCTCTAAGCTCCTTCATTCTCAGCCCATGGACTACATGACAGTAACTTAGCTAATACTACATCTCCGGTTCAGCCTCAGGTGCTTGACTATAAACAAGTCTCTCTTTAGCCAGCTGTCTGGCCTTCCAGCCCCCCCAGTACCTCTGCCCTCTTTTTACTGCTGTGGAATTTAGAGGATTCTCCATTTTGCTGCTCCTAATGCCCAAAGCCCAGCATTCTAAGAGTGATGTTTCCAAACAGATGACAAACCACTCTCTTCAATCACTGGACAGTCCAACTGTTAGCAAGTCTGTGTACATTATGGAAGTAAGAGCTGGCTTTATCTCAAAATTGAGATGTCTGGAAATACATGAGAAAACATGTGTGCGCAAGCACACACACCACACACACACACTTGCTTTAAGAGGCAAGGATGGTTAGAGGAGGAAGAGGAAAACACTGACCTCAGTAACTACAGAAAAGAGCCTTTCTCACCCAAACAGGCAAAAGCTAGCAGAAGCAGCTTACCTGGAGGGACAGGCTGGGCTTTGCGGTCCCATTGCTCAGGACCTGTGCCGATCTTTGTGGTAGGGAACAGGGAATAAGCTATTCTCTCCACCCTGGGGTAGAACATCCCCCACTGAGTAAACAGTGCCATAACCTGTGGCTTTCATGAACATCTCAGTCCCTTTAATGTTCCTGCTGCCACTGTACAGAGCTGGGGAATGTAGTAGCATAAGAAAGTCTGGGTTCTACATGGTTTGCCCTCCTTCCTGGGATCCCCCCAGAGCCTTTATCCAATGTTAATTACCTGTGGTTGCCATGTGTGTGGGAGAGTAGTAACTTTGAGACGCTGGATCACGATCTATGCCTGAGTGACTCAGGGTTCGTTTGGCAATTGAGAGTTGAGGAATGGGCTAAAAAGTCCTGTAAAGTCATGAAGCATGGTGGTTAGACGACATTGGGATATACAGCCTTTGGGTAGGACTCCAATTCTGGAAGGGACAAACTACAAAAGCTTAGGGGAAAAGACTGTCCTTTCCCATCTTTATCTAGATTGGAAATCTAGCATAGTCTTAAATACTCACACTTCCTTCCCTCATACGATTGAACACACAGACCAGAAAGACTAGAGAGAACAGATGTTTCTGAGGTGACTGATGGGAAAGCCGAGAAGCTCTTTAAGCTCCTTGCTCACCAGATGCTCACAACAATAATGAATGGGGTAGGGATGTTTACTTCGGCCACACAAAGAAACTCTGCGTCAGAACCTGAACTGAAGCCAAGCAGCTCTCTTCCCCTCTCAGGCACCTGCAGCCTGTGGAAGTGAGGCGGCGAGGCTGGCTGAGGGATTAATCTAATTAGTGTACACACACACACAGCTGGCTGAAGTATTAATATAATTAGTGTACACACACACACATCTGGCTGAGGGATTAATCTAATTAGTGTACACACACAGCTGGCTGAAGTATTAATATAATTAGTGTACACACACACACACAGCTGGTTGAGGTATAATCTAATTAGTGTACACATACACAGTAGAATAAGGAAGTTTGTTGTAGCTGGGGTAGTGGTGCACGCCTTTAATCCCTGCACTCAGGAGGCAGAGGCAGGTGATCTGTGAGTTCGAGGCCAGTAAGGTCTACACCAGTGAGTTTTAGGACAGCCAAGTCTACATAGCGAGACCGTTTCGAAAACAACAAAAAAAAGTTTAATTACTGAGCATAATTTTTACTCATACTCTCGTGAAGTTCTGCATACACAGACATTTACAGAAATTTTATAGTTGTGACTGGTGGTGTGTGCCTCTGTAACCACAGAATCCTGGAGACTGTGTCAAGAGGGAAAAAAAAACGAGTTCTAGGCCTGGGGTATATAGGAACGCCCTGTCTCAAAGTTAAATTTTAAATGGAGGAAATTTTTACAGAGCTGCCCTCCGGTTTAGAAAAGCCTCCTTCCCGGCTTGCAGAAGTAACTATTAGCACCTGCCAGGAACGGAGTAACACTCGCCAGCAAACTACCACCGCGTCCATACGCCGCGCCTGCGCAGTGTATTAGGCTCCTGTCTCTGGCCACATGTGGCCCTCGGGGCGCAGGCGTGACCCCGCCCCCTCCCGCCCCTTTCTGCCCGGGCCCTCCCCTCCGAGTCTAGCTCTGTCTCTTCCGCGTTCTAGGCAGAGACCTGCAGGTGGGGGTGCGCGCGGCCGCTCCTGCGGTGGTCAGCTAAGGTAAAAGTGAGACAGCCAGGAGTCCCTCCGGGCGGAACGGGACCGGGGTCTGGAGTGCGGCGGTGCGCCCGGGAGGGGCAGTCAGGGCCTTCTGAGCAGTTCGAGGTCACGACCCGCTTCCTCTGCGGAGGGACAGCCGAAGGGGACATTCTTTTAGGACTGTCCTCTGAGCTGCTCTCCTGCCCAGACTGCAGTGTGTAAAATCCCTTTCGGGACTCTCAGCCTGTTCCTGGAGATGGGCTTGGGTTGTGACAGGTCGGGACCCTCGTGGGTACCGACGGTCGGAGCTCAGCTTGTATGGGGTTTGAGACTCAGACCAAACAAGGATCTGCTCAAAGCATGAGGACGTTATAAAATGTGCATACTCGCTGTGGTAAATTAACTATTTCCAGTTATTTGGCAATACAGTGTTTAAAAGCTCCTGCCACATTTGTCCCGCAGAGAGTCGTAGGACTGTGGGTAGGATGCAGGCTCTCTTCTACAGCTGTAGGACTGTGGACGGTAAGAACCTGGGAATGAGCGCGGGAGTGCTTGACTTTTGGGTCAGCCATGCTTTCTCGTCTCCAGCTGCATATCCTAGGACAACTCATTTTTCTCTCAGAGCCTTTTATCTATTAAAAGGGATATAATAGTGTCACTGTGGGGGTTAAGTATGATTATATGTAAATTGCCTACATGCAATGGGTACTGATAAATAACTTATGATTTCTAGGAAAGAGAGTATTTTGGTGTGGCATATTTTAGGGAGGCCCTGGGGAAAAGCTGATGTAACCTGAGCCTTGGAGCCTCTGTGGGATTTATACACAGAATAGACCTTGTGGTATGAGTAGGGAACTAAGCCCTGTTGACCACAGGCCATGTGCCAAGCACCAGCTGAGTAGTTGACATATATATAGTGTCTCCCTTGATCCCAGCTGTCAAGTCAAAGAGCTTCAGCCCTCTGTCCTTAGCTTTAAGCCTTCTAAAGAGCCTTCGTGATATGAAGAATAGACACAGGGTCAGGATTCTGTATAGTTGTGCGCTAGCTGAGAACTTTGGAGTCCCTTCTCTGCATCTGCTCCCTCCTCAAAGTGTCTCTTTTTGTAATCGAGGGTTTGGATTGTGTAGGGGTGTCATTGCTCTAGCGATTTAGCAGATTTGGCAGTCAGAGGCCCTGGCAGCAGTCAGCCAAACCAAGAGAGAAAAGTTCTGAGAACAAGCCGGCAAATTGCAGCACCTGCCTAGCTAGGAAGAGCATGGTCTCCTATCATGTGGCCTGTAGTAATTCAGTAATACGGCACCTTGTGTAGCTTCTTCACACCACATCTGATGACTCTGTGGTGAAGCCTCTCATCCTCCTGCTGGATTAGACACTCCCATTGCAGTCTCCCATAGCAGAGACCAACTTCCAATGGAGTTCTTAGCAACGAGCTCTTGGGTACATTACTCATGTGTACACTGACTACAGTTGATGTCAAGGAGCCATGTCTGTGTCATACCTCCTCTTCATGGCACAGGACTGGCACATAGTAGGTCTCTGTAATGCTTGTGGTTAAATGAGTCAGTGGCTTTTTTTTTATTTACTTGCTTTGGTCCTTGTTTTATAAGCTGTCAGGTTTAGAAGGAGACTTTGTGTTTTCCTTCATGACTAAGGAGGGCCCTGGTTTAGATGGATGATGCCCTACTTACAGGCATCAGAGGCACAAAGGTGCAGGAATTCTTCATGAACCAAGATTCTTCATTGCTGTTATTGATCTCAGGCCCTGGTCTCACTATTGTTGAGTTTAGTTATGAACGAAGTTGTGATGTATCCAGGGACCTGTATAGTCTGTGCTATAGTTCATGTAAGGAA